TGGGGTGAACCAGTTTATGGCAGGGGGCTCCAAACTGTATGCTCTTTAAGGTCCTTGACAACTGAAGCTATTCTATGATTCTGTGATTGATTTTAGGTTTGGAGGAAGCAAACAGCTCCATAAAATTGCCTCCTTTCCCACTGATTAGTAGTATAATCACCCCATCCATAGCAAGGTAGCAAGTACATTGTGATCTGATTGCTTTGCCTGTCCATACTGGTCTTAGTTTACCACTTTTTATTTCAGGAGTTTCTGAGTTTCTTGGCCATGTCAGATTCAAGAGTAGCCATCCAGTGGGGGGCTAAGAGCTTTTCTAATGAAGGTGGCTTCAGCTGTATTTCTGTTCAAGAAACTTAATCCAGTTACTTTTCATACAGATGCTTTCTCAGTATGTTTTCCCAGTGTCTGCTTATATTTTATGTGTTTCCAGGCTACCCCATACTGCCGGCCCAAGAGGTGCCCACACACCCTGTGCTCGTGCCACACGCCACCCACTCCACAGCCTCTTGTTTTTGCATCAGGATAGCAGGTGTCATGCAGTAGAGCACAGAAAGGCTATTTGATTTTGTTAAGAGACCAAGCAGAGAGGAGAAAGGAAACTTGATCTGACTAGCCGAACTCTTGCTGAACAGGCCTGAAAGCTGAATGCAGCCTGATTTGTCACAAAGGAGGTTTAGAAAGTGCTGCATTCTTCAGTGGAGCTGACCTTTGAACATCTCTTTCTAACTCAGTGTCCTTCCTTTGTAAATATTTTGCATGCTAAAATGAAAAAAAAAACTGCTTACTTTTTTCTCACTGTTGTGGTGTGTCAAGGAAGGGCTGAGAAGCTGTGTGAATGCTAGAGTTGGAGAGGAATATCTGCTCTCCTGGGCCCTGATTATCCTCAATTTGGGTGTCCTGGGACCACACTTGGAGGAATTGCATTTGCAGAGATTCTGTGACTTGCCTCCTTGGACAGATGGGGACAGAATTTGGATTTTTTTTTCTCCCCAGCCAGGCTGTGGGGCTCTGGGTGCTAGACCAGCCTGGCCATGTGCCTGTGCTGAGCAGTCCCTAGGAAGTCCCTATGGTAATTCTCTAGTACTGGGCAGCACAGCACGTTCTTGCTACCCATGGGCTCCCTGCTGCTCCCTGCTGGTGCCACATCTGCATAGATTACAGCGCAGTGGGGCATGCTTTAGAAAATAAAAGTGCTTCACTTCTGACACCTTTAGCTAATGTATTTTACACTCATTCTGGTCACTGTCTCTGCAGAGACTTGTCCGATGGGCACGGGGTGTTGGATCAGCTTGTTTGTTTTTTTTAGGGCACAAATCCAGAGCAAAGGATTTCCTCTCTGTGGATCTCTCAGTGCTTTCAGGATATGCTGCTGCATTGTGTGCTGAACTGTGTGCTGAAAAGTTGGGGTGTTGGCTTGTTTCTAGATAGGAAGACATTGTCAGAATGAGTAATGTCTGAGTAGGACATTACAAAATGCAATAATGCCATTGCTGTGGGATAAATGTAAGCCTGGATTTCTTTAGCTTTTTTAATATATATTTTTAATGCGGTGCCACTTGTAGGGAGGTAGCTGCAATGGGAGGAGTTGGGCCTGCCACAGTGACAGCTGGGGTCAAATAGGGGTCTCAACTGCCTGCTGCCTTCTCTGGCTTTTGGAAACCATGTTTCTGACAGCAGGGTGGAGGAAACATGGAGCAGTGAGCAGCCTTTGGCTATTGACTGTTTTTGTCTTCTGTCACATCAGGGAGTTCCTGGCCCTCAGTTTTTCTTCAAAAAATGCTGTCCTGACCCATGCATGTGATGGGTTTTGAGGCCTAGATTTGAAACCAAGTTTATGAGAGAAAAGTTTTAGATTTTATTTTACTCACGGATGCATTTTGCTCATCTTATAGCCAGTAAAATATCAGCTGGGCATTTGTTAGCCTAGCAGAGCAGCCACTGCCTGGAGGGAGGAGAATGTAGGACATTTTGAGTCTGAATAGATGAGAAAGCTGTATTAGCTGGTGCAGTTTGTTTCTGATCAGTCTCTCTTGTTGCAAAAGGGTGTAATTGTACAGTAATTCACTGCTACCTTATTTCTGAAATCCCTGTGGATGATTCGCGCTAGACAGACTGCTTTGGTAAGCAGTTCACTTCAATACCTCACAAAAGCTACAGCACAGAGCAGGGCAAGGGCAAAATGAAACAGAAGTGATTTACTGAGCAAGCAGTGTCATCACTTTGCTGCACATCGTGTCTTTGCAAGATAGAAATGTGTTGGTTGATCTTACCTCACGGAGCAAACAAGATTAAGTGGCAGAAACACAACAAGCTCTCCGGATCCAAGGTGTATTTGCAGGCATACACTAGATCTTTTTCTGTCTCCAGTAGTACGTGCCTCTTGGCAAGTGTTTTGGCACAAATAGCTACCTGCCCATGGCATGTATTAGGATCAGCCAGATCGGTTACTTCCAGTTTACCTCTTCCTTATTTATAAAGCCTTCCTTTGTGAATTATACTAAAATCTAGTTTGTTCTTCACTGGTACTGATTTCAGGTGTCTGACACACCACCTTAAGCCATTGTCACTTCTTCTGGAGTCATGAACCTCTCTCTAGGGAAGCCACTGTACCACGAAATTACTCCTGCTGCAATTAAGAATGAGTGTGTGTGTGTGTGTGTGCCCATGTGCACCCACTCCAAGGAGAGCTCTGCAGTTGTTGCTTAACAGAAAGACAGGAAGAGTCACATGCATGCCATCACTAGGACAGCAAAGTGTGACTGTGCCATCCCGACAAGGCAAATACTCTTCTGCTCTCTTATCAGTCCAGATTAAGTCTGTGGACATCCATTCTGAGTCACCTGCAGTTAAATCAATGTCTGCTTGTTGCTTGTGCTCCTCTGAGTATGTGCTTGTCAGTTCTTGTCTTTAAAACTTCAATAATATATGATATTTTAGAAAAGCAGTACAATTTCATTACAAACGAAGGCCCATAGTTGCAGCTTTTTGATTTCCTAATTTAAGACTTCCTCCTTTTTTGCCATTTTAATGTCAGCTCTGAAGTATTTGCGAATGGGAGAAGTAGGTAACTGGTTGTGTATTGTTAACTCTTCTGCCTGATCTTCCTCCACCCGGTTTTGCTACCACCTGAAACACAGGAGGCAAGTAGCTGCCTGCCCTGGCCAAGTTGAGGAGTTCAGTGGCTCAGGAAGTGATATGATCACATTGCTGTGAAGATCTCCTGTCTTCTTGAGAACAAGAAATGCGGCTCCTAGGAAAACAGAGCATATGTGAAACTCTGGAGGAAAGGCATGGAGCAAGTTGCACCCAGTTTAAAAACTCCTTCAGCAGGCTTGGGCACTCTCTGCCAGGTGGAAGGGACTGGTGCCAGAAAGACATGAGAAAAACATGCACAGACAGCACTTCTGGGAGGAAGAATCCCATGGAGGAGTCACACTTCAGGTTGTGAGGACACCTGAAGTGCTGCACTTTCCCTTCTATGTGAAGGGATGGATGAGTCCAAAATCTGTATGTGAGGAACTACCACTGCTGTCTTGCCTAGTGGTGGGAATGTCTGCAAAACTTTGGGTGGCTCTGTTGGGAAGCATAGGCTTACCTAAATACCTTCTGTAAACCTGTACCACAGCAGGATGAGTTTTTTGTTTGCATGCAGAACAGGAGGACTTGTCTGGCAGTAGAACCCATGAACAAATACCACCATTCAAATAGCAGCTAATGTTAGTAGCTTCTATGGAGAACAGAGCAGTGTTGATCATTGTCTGAATTTTCTGACAGCACAGTCAAACCTCACGCAACAAAATGAAAAAGCGCAGGAGCATAATTTGCAGTGGGCTAGGGTGGGCAAAGGGCAGTGCTGCTGCTAACAGCAGGCAAGTTGGACTGGCTACATTAATGCTGTAGATTTGGAAATCTAAGTACTTTATACAAATAACATAAAAATGTTTATCAAGAGCTTGGCAGGCTTACTTGAACCATCCAGTCTGATCAAGTAAGATAGGTAGGACAGAGCCACAGAGAAGCTAGAGAGGAGATAAGGTATACCTGGGTAGAAGCACAGGAATGTGTGATATGAAGATGTACTCAACCCTGGAGGAATTTGGGCCTTTCTTTGCTCCAGTTTTCTGAAAGGTGCTTGTTTCACTCCATATTTGTCATGGCTTTTGAAGGCTCACCAAGCGACAGTGTTAAACAATGGGCAAGCGTGTTCTCGTGAGGCAATTACTTCTGCAAAGAACCTCACTGCTGAGACAGAATCTCCTCCATCAGCTGAATGTCTTCTGTTATCTGAACCTATCTCCTCTGTAATTGCACTAATTAGTATAATTTCAAATTTCATGATGTTTCTCATTTACAGAACACTGTTACCTTGCACCTAACTGATGACATGAGGGTGAATCTGTGCTGTTTACAACAATTCAACCAGTCAGTTCTTCTGTTAGCAATGACCTGTTAAGAGATGAAGTCAGCACATGCACCAAACCACCAGGTCTGACCACAACATCCCACCGCAATCTGTGCACCCTGCCTGTTTTCTTCACTGCTCAGAACTCCCATGGATGTAACACGTACAGGGAGAGACAAGAGAAAACTCAGGAAATCAGAAGAGGGAGTTGTTCCTGGTTGTGTTGATGGCAGCTCTTTATTAACTCTTGTCTTGTAGTATTCTAGCCACCAGCATCAAAACTCTGCATGTTGTTTTCAGTGGAATTAGGGGTCTCCAACTGTTCCTGAAAAGAGAAGGCTCCTTCCTGTAGTAATGAAATAAAAACCATTGGTGTTACCTTTCTAGACATCAGAGAATACTACTGCAGTCCACTTTGCAAATATGAGTTCAGAATACCTTCCTAGAAGCCAGAAGAGTTATCCAACTTTAAGGCTGTCTCAAGCTCATTTTTTTCAGCACATCAATGGCTTTTTTTTTCTCATAATGAATTGAAGTGACCACATGTAGATGCCAAGTATCTACTCAACTTTCTTCATTTTCTCTTTTTGTTTTAAAGTATATTCGGTGCTGTTCGAACTGCTCCTTACATGCTGTACATTTTGATGACCAAAGGCCTGAAGCAGTCAGTGTGTGACCAGAGTTTTTACATTGGACCTGTCAGCAAATTCTGGGCATATGCATTTGTGCTAAGCAAAGCACCTGAACTAGGTGAGTACCCTGTCTTACTTTTTCTCTCCAGGGCAGAACAAAGAGAGCATTTTTTCTAAATGCCATCAAGTTCAGTGCTATTCTTTCTCCTCAGCCTCTCTGCCAGTCTTTCTGAAAAGCAGCTGGGCCTTTGTCACTGTTTCAAAACTGCTTTTTTTGCAATTAATTTGGCAGAGCATAAAGCCCTTAGATTCATTGCTCTAGTCATACTGGACAATCTCATTTATTTATATACACCGTAGGCTGTCCAGATGGAGGTCTCCAAAGTATGCCTCATTTAAACACATCTTCAAAGCTGAAATTACAGCTCAGCCTTCTGAGCTTTCTCCTAGCCTTTGTCAGCACACCTGTGATGATGCTGGTTTCAGGTAACAGAACAGGTAGGTCCAAGTCCTCAACTAAGCTCCAGTGTATTTAAAAGACTGGAGTCTGCCTCATCACCAACCTGTCCGTTAATTTATGTAGCCTATCTGCCAGCCATAGATTTTAGCTATCTAACAACAGCTGGACATCAGCCATGGATTCACAGTTGTGAGACATCCTGTAAGTGGCAAAAGGTTTCCCTGTTCCTCTTTAGAGCTCCTGCTTTACACATTGTCTTCATCTGCAAGTGGCCACTACTCAAGGGTATTTGGCATCTCTACACAGCAAGAGCTGTAGGTAGAATGAAAACCAGGAAAAGCTAATAAGAAATCTCTATCAGGAAACGTCAGTTAGAGTTGTAGTTCCAGAGATGTTTTTTTTCAAGTCTACAACAATTTGCTAGGAACACACTGCCACCCTTCCAATATCCAAGCTTGCCAGTCAAGCACTCTTCATGGTCTTTGTATTTTTGTGTTTGTTACCCCACGTCTTCCGGCAGCAGGAGATATAAGTCCAGTATTGCTCTTAGCTGGGGTCTCATGCTTTGCAGATTCACACAGTAGATCTGTAGGTCCAAGTTCAGCCCCAAGGGACCAGTATACTTCACGAACATGATACAGATGTTGAGAAAACGTCACCTCCGTTCTGCTCCCCATGAAACTTTTGTAAGGACAAAGGGTGATTCCCTTGGTATTCCCTTCAGCATTGCTAGGCCTGGCCAATCACTTCTGAAATAGTGATTGCAGACAAATCTGAGTAGCATCATTGGCAGCCACCCACCCTGTGGATATTGGTGCGAGGCTGGGCTAGAGCCATTGCATTGGCAAGAAGCTACCTCCATTCTGCAGCATTCATCCTTAAATATAGGTGTGGGCCTACAATTATGAGCAGTTATACGCTTCTTCTGAATGCTGAAAGCTATCTTTAGATAGAAGCCAGTTTCCCACAACATCCCTGGCTTTTTAAACCCCAAATCCAGTGTGATGCAGCTTTTTATAAACAGCTGTCTCTCCAGTGATTTATTTGTAATGATACTTATGATATGCATGCCAAAGCCAACTTAACATCCCATCTGTGTGTGTTCTGATCCCACAGCTTATTAGTATAAGAGAGGATTGTTTTAACAGGAAGAAGACAGTGATTCAGCAGCCTCCAGCTTTCCTTTAGGAGGATGCCTTTGCCAAACCTCAAAGGGCTGCAGAATTCACTGTGTTCAGGTGTGCAGCAAAATAAGTCTTTACCTTTCAGCAGAGAATTTGATTCAGCAAATTACAGGATAGCAATTCATCAGCACAAACACTGGGAGGAACAGACACCAATTATTTTGCTGTGTCAGAATCTTTTGGTTTCCTGCTGCTTAAATTACTGCAAAACCACTGAAATCTCATTTGTTTAAAACTGGAGGACGTCAGCTTGAACTATGCATCAACAGTAAATTGGTCATATGATTACTTATTGAAATTGAGATAAACAGAAGTATTATGGTTTATTGGAGACCTAGTGCAGATTGTGCAGTTTCAGTTCCAGCCCTCACTGATACTCTTATTTGGATTTTCAGGGATATATATGTAGAAAGAAGGCCCCTGATTCAAATCTCAAGGTACCTGTTTGGAAACACTGCCTATAACAATAGCACATAAGTAGCATACATATATATTTATTATATCTAATTATGTATAGGTTAGATCTAATTGGGATGCTCAGAACAATCACGAGAAGCAGAAGAAAGAAAAAGGCAGGAATGAGGAATAAAATTTGCTTTTCTAAAACAGTAACATGAATTTGCAGAGAGCATATTCATTTCAACATAAACCAAATTCTTTCTAGAAGCTTTTTTTTTTCTTCTGGCAATTACATACCTTCAGTAATGTAGGTTATGTATGCAATAGCTTTTTGCATAATAACATTTAATTAGAGCCAGTTGCAGGTAGGCATTCAAACCACTGTGCTGCTTCCTCTGTAGATTTTCTGCTCTCTGGTTTTCTCTTGTAGTCACAGTGCACAATGGACAGCCTGACAGTCGGAGGTGATGCATGTATGTCCACCTGCCTCACTTCAGGCTTTCGCAGATTATGTTTACAGCAAAGACCTATGGAGTATTCAAACAGGGGATGTCCAATCAACAAAAAGGGGATTCGTGGGTTTTCTGAAAAAGCATCAAGATATGAGACCCAAGCTGGCACTCGGATCTGACAAGCTCTGAGTTCAGTTGCTGAGGTGCTCTTTCATGCTCCAAAAGCATGTACTCTAGCAAGAGCAATGGGAAGAGAGCATTGCAGAATTCAGTAACTGTGTTTGATGTGTTTCTCATTTCCTCCCCTCCCTTTTTTTTTCTTTTCTGTTTTTTCTTTTTGTTACAGGAGATACAATATTCATTATTCTTAGAAAACAGAAGCTCATCTTCTTACACTGGTACCATCACATTACTGTGTTACTTTATTCTTGGTATTCCTACAAGGACATGGTGGCTGGCGGTGGCTGGTTTATGACCATGAACTATGGAGTGCACGCTGTTATGTACTCTTACTATGCCTTGCGGGCTGCTGGCTTCAGAGTCTCACGCAAGTTTGCCATGTTCATCACCTTGTCGCAGATCACCCAGATGTTGGTCGGCTGTGTAATCAACTACCTGGTCTTCTCCTGGATGCAGCATGGCCAGTGCCATTCCCATGTGCAGAACATCATCTGGTCCTCTCTCATGTACCTCAGCTACTTTGTGCTCTTCTGCCATTTTTTCTTTGAGGCCTATATCGGCAAAACCACAAAAGCAAAGAAGGTTGACTAGTGGTGAGAATGAGACAGAAGCCATAGCTCAGGGTCATCAAGAAAAACAAAATTACAAGAAAAGAAAATGGCACAAGGAAACACATATATGTATGGTGCAGCTAAACCTTGGCAGCTTAGGGAAAGTTAGCTTGGTTTAACCCAGTAAGTTTATGATCCTATCATGGTGAGGACTCACTGCAATCTACTCTAACTCAAAGGACTGCTGATGAAAGACTCCTTCCTTCTTGTACCTGCCTGCTCCAGAAAAGAAAGAAGAAAAGGAGAAACAGAAAAAAAGTGAGAAGAAAAGAGAAGAAGAACAGAAAGGAATAATACTGAGGGGAAAAAATAAAGTACATTAAATGAACTGTGTTTCCCTGGGATGAAAAGAATTTTATTGTGAAAAAAAGTTTCTAAATTCTTTCTAATAGTTTTTCAGCATTAAACTTGAACAAAACATTTACGTTAATGGTAGGATTGTGAAATTAAAATCTTTTCTGTAAAAGATTTAGCCAAAATGAAACCCAAGAGGATGTCACATACACCTATGTGGAAAGCGGTTGAACTCCATTGTGGTCATGAATGGCAGCGAGAAGAGATTGAGTGCTCTGCTCTGTCCTGTGCCAAGGGAGTAGAGCTGGGAGGCAGGCACCTCTCTGGGGTGCAGGAAGGAGCAGGACTTGTACAAGAGCCTAATGTGAAAAGAAGCGCTGTTGCAATACATATCTCAGCAAGTGCATTTTCCAAGTGCGCTTTTCAGCTAAAGGCAAGGAGTTTCTGTAGCAGGATAAGACATAGAGGGTTAAATCAACCGATATATGCTAAATTACCAGGGGCTAATAGCAGATGAATGTTCAGGAAGGAGAGGGAGGCAACTCCTGAAAAGATTTTTAAGAATTATCCATCAATCTCAAATTAACCCACAGCAACACGGAATGGAATGAGGGGAAATGAGAAGCCACTCTAACCAGCGAGCGGTGAAACGACGCCTCTTCCCATTGATTCCCAAACTGTGTGTCAGGTGGACCCAGGAGGCGAGGCGAGGGGAAGAGGTGCGGGACCGGGCAGCGCTGGGTGGCTCTGTGCCTCTGCACGCACCTGCCAGGCTGGGTGAAGATGTGCCAAGAGCCCTCCTCTGGTCACATGGAGATACTACTGCAAAACATGCCTGGAATAAGATTTTCTTGGGATTGGATAGGAAATTAGTTTGAGCGGAGTGATTTTGCTGCAACAGCTTAGCTCTAATGTCCAGAGAGAATTGTTCTTCATTAAACATGTATCTCTCTCTCTGCAGAGTCGGTACTGTAACACCAGACTGACCACTAAAGAAGACACTCTTCTCCGCAGTCGGCTACAGAAATAAGGAAAAATGTATTTCACTCTGAACCTTAGAGAGCTAGTTGATAACAGCCATATTCTCTCAAAGATGAATAGATTGCATTATCTGTGATATTCCAGTCCTTACAAAGCCAAATAAAATGTGTAAAAGTTCCTAGTATTTCAAAGATGCAAGTATGTAAACTTGATGTTAAATGTGTTAATGTAGTACTCTAAATTGTATCAGTTAGGTAGCTTAACTAAACAATTAGAAGAACTAGATCAACAAAGTAGGGACTGCTGTTCTGCGTAGAATACACACACCTATAACTACACCCATATACACGTTCTGTGAATTGTCAGCAAGAAAAAAGCCCAGCGGCAGAGAATCACATTTCCTGGCTAACGCAAAAGATTGTCATTATCTTTCTTGTTTTAATTTGAGATTGTACAGTGCAAAGGGTTTGTTGTTTTTTGGTTTTTTTTTTAATTTTGATTTTTAGCTTTAATTGTGCTGTCATTCATGAAACAGAGCTGCTTTAGTATCCTGTTAAGAGATGACAAGGGCTTTCGGTGTCTCATTATATACAAAAGAAAAACAAATAAAGTTACATTCCATGTTATGTGAATGGTCTTACAAATCAAAAAGCCTCTGTAGGCTGAAATCATAATTATAACAAGCAGAAAAGATGTTTACATTTGTGTTATTTAAGTTATTGATGTGCTGACGTTATTTTATGGTACACATACAAACAGCAAAATGTGATATCCAGCTATGATATTCATTAATAGGACTACTGTGTACATGGAAACAATAGGCAAAACCAATTAAATGTGTAAACCATTTTGTTTTACAGCCTGGGAGTAGATAACTGTAATGCTGAGTAAGCCTTTATCCTCACGCTTAATTTTTCCCTGGCTGAGAACCAGGTTATGAAGACTGAGTAACCGGGAAAACCCAAATTTCAAGTTTCAGGTTACCTACACCCTAGATGGGAAGCAGAGGCCCCATCATGCCACGCAAGGAGCTGCATGTAACCCCTGGTAGCTGGAGGACTGCAGGTAGAGGCTTAAAACCCTAAGAAGCTTTACAAGTAGGAAGTGATACCGCAGCTAGGGGTAGACCTGAGGCCCAAGTTTTACACAGACAGAAAACAGGATGGGTTGCTAACGAGTGTGCAAACAACCCACTGTGTTTTGTACACTGTGTTCCTTAGTTGCATGAAGGGCGGGGGGGGGGGGGGGGAAAGCATTCTGTGTGTGCCAGATGGAAATGCTGGCAATGCTGACACTGAGTTGAACAGAGCAGGCATTTTACCCCCATTCCCTGAAAGCCCTCACAGGTGCTGTTTGCTCCCAATCTGCCTGCATCCCTGTGAGCTCTCAGGTTAGACCTGGAGATGTCCCCAGCCATCCCAAGGGCCAGGTCCCTCCTATGCTGCCTGGTCAGCAGCTCCAGACCAGGGGCTGGCTTACAGGCCTCCTCCAGATGCAGTACAGGTGTACCCCAGATGTGCAGGGAAACCAGTGGGGAGGGGGAGTCCAGTGGGAGGATAGGTTTGCTGGCGAGTATGTGTGTAGGGAAGGGACAGCAAGATCAGACATGTAAGGAATAAATGAGGATACGTCTGCCACCAGAAGTTGGAACTGGCATGTCACAGAGGCATTTCTACATGCCAGTTCCAACTGGCCATGGGGCTCCTCTGAGATTTTACACTGGACGCAAGTGTGGCAACTAACATTAAAGAAGTTGAGGATATGACGAAAAAGTTAACATATACTGTTTTTCAATTTTGGTTTTTTTTCCCCCCTCTAAAAAGCACATTCTTGATATTTAGACATCACTTTTAACCCATGTACTTGAACAGCGAGGCAGTCATCCCTAATGACACCTCTTATATTCCAGCTGTTTCAACCCAAACACAGCTAATTGGGTCCTACTTATTTCCCCTGCTTTAAACCTTGGGACCACACTTGCACACTATTCTGTCACTACCAGAACCTTTTTTTTTTTGGCAATAACATTAAGTAAAGCTGCAGTTCTGCCATATTCACACATGCTCTGGGGGACTACAGCTTGTATAGTGCACTAAAAATTATGGAACTGTGACAGCAACCACAGTGCTGTCAGGAGATTCACTGCTGAAGTCAGGCAAGTTACACTGATACAGTCAGTCTGCCAGGGCTGAAGTCTGTGCTTCGTGTCTGACTTCAGTGTACTGGAATAAAAACAGTAGGGTTGTGCATGTTTATCTGTAAGCAGCTGTGAGCAGAATTTGGTAGGGAAACACCAAGAAGTTGGGTAATTGCAAAGTTCCTTCAAGTTGTGTCTGTGAGAAGGAAAGTCCTCATGCTGACAAGCCTCCTGTAAGTCAGTCACAAATGGTGTGTGTCTCAGCTCACTGGTAACACATAAGTGGCTGCTTCCCAAAGACATCTTTCACCACAGTTTCAGAGGAAATGAATAAAAGCATTGTCTTACCATAAGGGTTTAACCGTGTGAAAGGAATCACCCGAAGAGGTCCAGCTGAACAGCAGGGATAAACAAAGCCTGTTTTGTAGGGGAGCATGAACTGAAGGTGAGGTGGCAGTGGAGACCAGTCAGTGCCTGGGTAGGAAGAAGCTTTGAGGACATGGCTGAGCCACTCACTGGACTGACTCGTGCACAGTGGCCTGCTTGCCATGAGGCTGTGCAGGGCCCCGGGTGGGCCACGATGGAAGGAGGCTGCAGCCAAAGGCCTCCTGCAGTCTGCTGGTCTGTGCTTTAACAGCTGGCCAAATGCTGAGCCTGTCGTTTTTCTCTCCTAAAAAGAAAAATATAGGAGAATGGATTAATTGAGAGCAACGATACCTAGGGGATCAATATCAGATTTTCAGGTAACAGCCAGTGTAAGGCGCCAATTACTGTGGCCATGACACAGCAGCCTTTGTAAGCACGTGCCATAATGTCTCCAGTATTAGCATTCTGTCTCTGTACTTCAGAACTAGAAACAGAGCTATTGATACACAAGTCGTAAATGCAGAACCACTTTTAAGTAACAAAAGTGTCTTTGGTTGAGGAAGAAAGCTCAGCACAGTGCAGACTGCAGACTGTGCCACATAAGCTCAGCATGTGGCTGAATACCTGCAGAAAATGAGATTGCTAGTGAGGTGATGCCCGGAGATGTCCACCAGCTTAGCTTCAGTCTATTGCAGTGTGGTTGGTTCAGAGAGCAGTGACACAAACTGCCCAGGCCCTGGCGTTAGTCCTCAGTCCTATTTCCAAGAGCCACCTCAATGAGCCTTCTAAAAGAGAAGAAATACAGCTCAGCACTGTCAGTGTGTTTCTACTCTTTTATTTCAATACATTTTCATGGAGTCCCACAGAATGGCAGGGGTTGGAAGGGACCTCTGAGACCATTGCATCCAACCCCCCTGATAAAGCAGGTAAAATATAGCAGAGGATGGTTGCCCATCCCATTTATTTTATTAAAAACAAGCTAAAAGATGAGTCCCTGATCCTGCTATTACAAACACTCCACTGTGGTCAGTGTACATGGGCACAGAAACCCTTCTTTTACAGGGGCAAAGACAGGATCAGTGCCTTGTTATAGACTTATTTTATAGCAGAGCAACAACCACACACAGGGTAGAATTAATTTGATTTCTTAAACACAAATAAGGTGAGATCTGCACAAGAGCCCTGCACTGAAGGGAGACCAGGGACCTCCCAGTGCATCATAAAGCTCAATGAAATGCTGCATGAAGTGGGGTCAGAGGGTATTTCCCAATGGGTATGAAATGATATTCCCCTGAAATAGTGACCTTCCTGAGAAGTCTCATGTCTGTCTGGCCCTGGACAGCTTCAGATAGGGCCGTCTGCTGAAAAAACACAGCTCTGATTGACTTATCCGCTTTCTCTAAAGAGCCACTATATGCTTTAGGCTTTGAGGAGTCTTAAAGCTCAAGCTAGATTTCTATTCAGAAAAAAAAAAAAAAAGAGAAAAAAACCAAGGGAAAATAATACATGTACAATAGCTACGAGAGAATAGTATGAGAAATGTCTTTATTTTACCATTTTCAAATGGCTATTTCACTACATAAAATGAAGTTTTTTATTTTATTTTATTTTTTTTGGTATATTGATATTCCAAATAAAATTTTAACTTTTGGTTCAAAATAAAATGCATCTCTGTGTTTTATTAATCTGTAGTGCCCAATCAGTTCTCTGTAGTGCCATCAAGTCCAACTGTTGAGAAAGAAAAACAATTCACTGTCTGCTGGGCTACAGCCTGGCTGCTCTGCCTTTTGCTTCCCAGCAAATCTCTGCCATGTTCCTATTTCCACATGCCACACAGAAGCCTATATGTGTATTCTTTCTGTGTGCACACGTGCATCTGTATGACTTGAGTGCAGCGCAATTGATGCTTGCATGTTCTCTTTATTCACATTTGCCCTTTGGCAGTCCTGATCTCTGCATCTCTGGGGTGAAACAAAACCTGAACCCTCATGTGCCCTTTTTATTCCCTGAGCATCATGGTTTGGGAATGAGCTATATAGAATAATTTATGTCTGTTTAAAAAAGCTTTACATGTTACAAGTAAAGGATTTTGGAGGGGAGATCGGTATTATTTTTCCTTCAGAATTTTACTAAAAGTACCTGGATTGGTGCTAGGATTGGTCAGGCCCGTATTTGGGCTGGCTGGGGAGACATACAGTGGCATTTACAGCCCGCCGGTGGCACAGGAACTGCCGAGGGCACTGAAAGCCTTTTCCCCACACGTTCATCGGGCAGACAGCAGAACCCAGCCAACAATGGCTTTGCTGTTCACCTCTTCGGCTTTCGACATGGCTTTATCTACATAAGATAAATGGTGCACATGTTGGCTGATGGGCATGTCTGCAAGATACCTAAGGCCTCAGCTTTTGAGGAGAGCACTGTTTGCTCAGGAACACTTTTGTGCAAGCTAAGCCAGGTTTAAGGAGATAAAAGCATTACAGGCCTGCTATCTCTTACAGAATGAACATAACACTGTCATTTCTGACTATAACTTGCAGCTACTCCTGCTCACTGAGATTCAGGCTGGAAGGATGTAACATTGAACCTCAGGTAAACATCCCGTCACATCTGGTAGTTGGCACAATACAAGTACAGGACTGGGAATGCAGGCAAGTGTTAAAGAGGAGGAGACACACTGGTCTAGCACAGGATGGGCACGAGGAATCCTCATCCTGAGGGTCCCTGGTCCTGTGACCTCACCCCAGAGGGTGGCAGGAGTGACCCAGGGGGCCTGGAGAATGCTTTGGAAAATGGGGTGGCCACAAGGTACCATCTGAGGAATGTTATTTGTTGGATTCCTGCTCCTCATCCCACACAGTTTATACCAGCTGTGCCCTGAGGGTAGTACAGGTGGTCAGATTGTTAACTGGGTTTGTTTAAAATGAAAAGAAAGGGTATGCCAATGCAGCTGACTTATCAGAAACATCTACTTAGTCTGGATGACTGGGTGGTGAAAACACAACTATGAACAACTATGAAGACATCAGGTTAAGCTCTTGCTTCTGGCTGAGGGCCTTAGTGCACTCCCACCATGCCCTCCACTAAAGCAGCAAGCCTTGCCAGGGCACAAACCATGCAGAGAAGTAGCAAAATCTGTGCAAGCTACACATTTTAAAATATGACTGTACCAGCAAAACAAATTTCAGGATATATGCTCCTATAGTAATATATGTCTCTCTATATGGACACTTTGAGCTGATACGTTCTCTGCATGATCTTGGAATGATAGAATCACTAAAGTTGTAGAAGACCACTAAGATAATCTAGTCCAACCATCCACCTTCTTCTTGAACACCCCCTGGGATGGTGACTTCAGCCTGTTCCAATGCATCAACACTCTTTCAGAGAAGAAATTAGTCCTAATATCCAACCTGAACCTCCCCTAGCTCAACTTAAAACCATTACCTCTCATCCTGTCACTGTTACCTGGGAGAAGATCTTGGGCTTGTTTGAATTAAATGAGGCAAAACCTGTTCCTTCAAGCAGAAGAAAAAGACTTAAAATGGAATGTGGTGGTGTGCCAGGATCATTGCATACAGCAGGTAGTTTTGGTGGGCTGAAAGGATTTGCATGCAGAGGCTGGGAACACCTACCTTGCTCAAAGAGTGTGGGTCAGAGAGAAATCCCTTGCAGACAGCTGCCAATTGCTGACAGGTAAAAGGGCTCCCGTCCTTTCCATAGCTCAGCAGGGCTAAAGAGCCTGAGGGTCTTATTCTGGAAATAAAAGCACCAAATTAGTGAAAAAAATTAAATGACTACAGGTGCAAAAAAGAAAAAAAAAAAAAAGAGTTGCTGGTAGCAGAACACTGAAGATAAAAAACAGGTGGTCTCTGTTACCCAGATACCTTCTCCTAAGCCTGCCATTTTGTAACTGTGGATAAAGCAAACCTGACCAAAAGTCTCATCACAACTTGGAGAAACAGCACATGCTAAAGTGTCTCATGGAACCTTTGGCTTTTGGCAGGGTCCTGATCCAGGGAGGTACTTCTGGAATGCAAACTCCAGACCTCCCATGGTAAGATCTCCTTGACAAAGTAAATTGTGAAATTCTGAGGGGAAAGCTGTGAGGGCTTTCTGAGGGCTGATTTTTGGAGGTGGGGATGTTAGTTAGAGAGGCTTTCTGTCTTTTGGAGGAGAGAGCTTCAAATTTACAGGGCTTGAGAAAGCTTGACATGTATGAGGGTCACGTAGGCATCTCCTTCACTCTTAATTGCATGGAGAGGAGTCTTCCTCTCCTTCTCCTCCCTTTCCTCTCTCCTCCTTCTCTCTCCACTTTCTTTCTTTTCTTTTTTACTTTCCCATACCCCCTGGGTAAGATAGTGACCGAGTATTACTCCAGGAGCTAACTTCATTTCTTGAATTCTGAAGAGATCAAGAAAATACATCAAAATTCATATGTGATTCTATATAAAAACACCAACATTTTAATTGCCAAGGTCTCTTCAGTGAATATTTGATGTACAAAAGTTTTTGGAGTTACTTTCCTGAAAAGTTGCAACTGAGTTTTAAAATCAGGAGGTTTTTAAAGAGCAGTTAAGTGGAATTTAGAATTACCATCCACTGTCTGCAAGTATTTTAGGCAGACATTGAATCTGTGCTGCAGGCAAAGCTGTGAAAGCAACCGAAGTGTAAAGAACCCATTTTTGCTCAGGATTCTACTTTCAAACTGTACTTTGTGAACATTCTCTCCCAATGGGAAAAAATCTCTGTAGTAGAAAAACTGAGAGTGGTGGCTAACTGTCTACAGCACCAAGGGTGCTTTCTAGATATGATTGATTTGGTTCTATGCAGGTGTCACTCCTTTTTTTTTTTTTTTAAATGGATGAATGAAGCAATAATGACAAATTAAAAGAAAAAGTCCAGACTACTGCTATAAGTAAATTGTTCCTCAGCCCTACTGACAAGCTCAGTGCCACAGAATGGCACTCTGCAATTTGAAGAGCTGTAGTGTGGACCTTTCTTTGCAAATGTAGCAGAGAAAGGAAAGTGCTCAGGATAATAACTAGCAAAGACTGTGCATGCAGTAGCCAATAGAGCCAAGATCGAGAAAGAATCATAGAATCCTTAGAGTTAAAAGGGACTTTTAAAGGTCATGGAGTCCAACTCCCCTGCAATGAACAAGGACACTGAGATCTCTCTTTTTTTTTTTTTTTAATTATTTACTCATTCAGATGCCTTTCACTTGTGCAAGTATGTAAGGCAGTATTAGTCACCAACTTCCATAACTCTGCAAGGGCTCCAAGTGTGAAATTTCCAGTCCTGTTTGCAACTTGGCGGAACTATTCCCAGTCACACTTGCCTATATCTGTTCATGCCTGTGGCAGAGTCATGCATTGCACAAGAACAGTACAAGCAGACTATCCTGAGTTCATACAGGCTGTTTATACTGTCCAGTAATGTATACCTTATAGTGATTATAACTCTTCAAAGAGAAGAATAATTAAAATAATGAAGTCAAGATGAACTGTAAAACTTGAAGAAGTAGCATCCATTAGAGAGCGACTCATCTTTAAGCATCTTCCTCTGTTGCAGTTGGAGCCAAGTATTGCTATAATTATCACCAACAAGAAACATTTCAAAAGTCAATATATAGGAAGACTCAAAAGAAAATATTCTTTAAAAATAAATAAATAAATAAATGGTATTTCGCCAGCAAGACTTCTTAACACATCCTAAGTTTTAGAGTAACTACTGCATACTTCTTAAACTTGTTTTCAAAGACTCAAACTGAAAATCTCAATGTCATAATTAGAGGACAGTACATAATTACAAGGTTTGTGTGATCTCATTCTCAAAGCACGATTCCTCTCCTCCCACAGCTGCTGCTGCTCACTGCCAGCTATCTGCACCTGTGCAAAGGTCACCCATCAAGTGATGGTGCCACCAGTCTCTGCTCTCAGCACAAAATGACCATGGATGCACAGTGCCTGTGCAGCTCTCTGCCTCCCTTTGTTGCATCTAGAGCAGCTTGCAGTGCAGCAGTGTAATTCAGAGCATGCTACCACCACACTGCAAGGCACTCTGTGATCTGTTCTGATATTTTTTCATTAGCTGCTTCCTGTCGGATGGTTAAAATCATAATGTGAAACCACAGAGAGTTTGCAACAGAGCAAATCCCCCAGTGGCCTGCTAGATCTGCCCTATGACATTGATGGCCGTAGTTCAAGCTCCTGCTGCCACAGAACATCTATCTATGCCATTGGGCATCTAAAGGGAAAGGCTGTAGATGCAGAAGTGGCAAAGGAAGCTCCTTTTGCTCACTCTCTCTTGAACTGCTAGCAGGGAGGATTGTTAGATCAACGAGTAACTACTTTTACTGAGCCTGATATCAATCAAAGGCAGCAACATTTCCCACACCTCTAGGAAAGAGAATCACAGGTGGCATGCTGTGGCTATTAGGATGTTTGGTGCCAAGAAACCAAGCTCCTGTGATGTTTCTACAGGTCTGTGTTCCCACCAGAAAAGCTGCCAAAATCTAATTTTCTTGCCTTCAACTTTTAATGAAGCAGGAGACTTCTCAGCATCCTTTCCTTCTCT